GGGGGGCTTGGTACTCTCTGAGCTTAATTGTTTTCTTGCAGACATTTCATTACCCAAACTAGGTAACATCATCAGTGCTAGTAAGGAGTGGGGTTTGCTCTCAATTTATATTCTAGTGGCTTGCCTTATCAGTGTTGGTTTGAGTGGTCTTGCTTGTGCTTTAGTTGGGCTGTTTACTGTTAGCTTGTTTGGTAGTTCCTTGATTGGGGTATTGTCTCTTGATTTGTTTGTCTGATGTTAATCTTGGAGTTAATCTATGCACATCTGGATATTGATTGCTGGTGGAGAGGTGTTTTGGTCTTTTTGTTCCCTTTTGGGCTTATTGATTGTCTCTTTTGAATAGTATATATTGTTTATGTGTCTTTTGATGGCTAATTTGCCAGAATGCCAGGTTTCCAGAAAGAGTTCTTAACCCACTCCAGCCCTCTACCCATCAATCTACTTTGTTCCTCTCATTTTTTCTGGTAAATCAAGGTGACAGATTTTTCTTAGAGAAGGTAGAGGATTCTTAAGAGGGCCCAGACCACATTCGTGTCTAAGGTTCCAATAATATTGCTAGGTACTGAGGCAGAGCATTCCCCATCACATTCAGAAACCACCTGGATCTAACAGGCACAGGGATGGACTTTTTGTGACAGAACTTACCCCTTCAAGAGTTATAGCAGCTACTAATCCAGGTATGTCAAACTCGCGGCGTCATGTGACATCGCACAACGTATCGCAACTTTTCCCCCATTGCTGGCAATGGGGTGGGCACGGTTTCGGCGTGACACATCCAGCCAGCGGGCCGGCAGTTTGACATGCCTGTACTAATCTCAACAGAGTGATCTGTGACCCTGGAGTTACAGAAAGCTTCTCAACTTCCCGACCACCAGCTCTAGCCAACTGGAATATCAAATCCAGACTGTGCCCTACCAGATGCATGGAATGGGATTATCAACTGGAAAGATCCATTGTTGTCATGTGAGGAATGACATCCCAAATCCCTTCTCACTGGGCAACTTCAGCATGGACAAGAAATCAAAGATGGACCTTTGTGAGGGCAGATTTCATCATGACCAGTTCAGAAAGTCACAATGTGGGGAAGAGAAGATCACACCCTTATGCTGTCTAGTTATTCAGAACACTCATTGGTATTATAGCACTGAATACTTTGCTGAGTGACTACAGGTCATCCTCCTTTAGCAACCACCACTGAGATTGGCAAACTCTGTCACTAAGCAAAGCAGTGGCTAAGTGGGAACTCAAGTGATGGCAACTGTGCTTTCTGGGGTGAAAGTGACAAGACTAATCAGTGTTTACACCTTCCACTTTTATTTGCCTCTTAACTACTCCCTCATCTTTTGGCATGCTCACCCTGATACAGGTAGTCCTCAACTTACAACAGTTTGTTTAGTGACCGTTTGAGGTTACGGCACTGAAAAAAGTGATTTAGGACCATTTTTTACACGACCATTACAGCATCCCCACGGTCAGGTGATCAAAATTCAGATGCTTGTCAAGTCATATTTATGACGATTGCAGTGTCCTGGGGTCATTTGATCACCTTTTGTGACTTCTTGACAAATGAAGTCAATAGAGAGGCAACATTCACTTGACAATCCTGTTATTAATTTAACAACTACAATTATTTATTTAACAACTGTGGCAGGAAAGTCCATAAAATGGAGCAAAACTCACTTAACAAATGTCTCACTTAGCAAAAGAAATTTTGGGATCAATTGTGGTCACAGGTCAAGGACTACCTTTACCTGGATAATTAACAAGAAGGAGAATTAATGTTTGTATTTCAATTCTTTGGAGAGGAAAGGATTACAACAAAGTAAGCAGGCACACAACAAGAAATATCTATCAAAAACAATGTGCTGGTTTTGGCAGCTGCCATCTTGATGCATAGCCACGTGTATTCCTCATGTATATCTGTGCCTGTTTGCTCTCTTGCCCTCTCTTTTTCTCTTCTGCTCTGCAAAGGGGAAAAGAAAGAAAAAAACAGAACAACTGTAATGGCACTCATGTGACTGGAGGAGGTTGCAAGTGTTATAAATGGTTGTAAATTGGTTGTAGACTTATTGTTTCAGGGACCATTGTATCTTCAGAGGCTGAATTAGTGGTCAGTAAGTGATTAATGTTGGTGTTGGGACTGGAATTTCCCTTGCTTAGCGATGGCAATTCCAGCAGTTCCATGTTGTTGTCATTAAGTGAGGAGATTGTGAGTTGCTAAGCAAGGACCTCATGGGACTATGACTTATGACTTCCTGCCAGTTTCCCCTTTAGCTTTGCTTGTGGGAAGCTGGCAGGGAAGGAGAGTAATTAGGATCATGTGATGTGGAGACGGGGCAATCGGTGGAAATCTGGGCTGGTTGCTGAGCACCTGGATCATGATCATGTGAGGTGCTGCCACAGACTGAATCTCAAGGACTGGATGTAACTATTACTCATCCCAAGAATTGCAGAAGGATCATACGTAGTTGGTGGCTATCCCAAAGATGCTTTTTCATGAGGCAACTGGACTTTGTTTTTCTTTAAAGACGTTTCGCTTCTCATCCAAGAAGCTTCTTCAGCTCTGACTGGGGAAGTGATATAACATCAGTCGCCTCATGAAAAAGCATCTTTGGAACAACTATGATCTGGATGATTGAGAATTTCCATAGACATTTAGCTGGTAGATAGAAGCTCCCCAAAACACAAAATGAGGAACAGGGCACGCTAAGTGGCTGCTGCAAGATGACCAGGTGTGTTTGCCTGCAGGGGTATGAATTTCTCAAATGGCTTGAATTCTGAAGGGGCAGTCTGTGCTGCAGTCCGGTGTGAAGTAATATATCTTCCTTTTTTCATATGAAAATCAATTTAATTTTTTCATTAAAAATTAGCCAGCATCCCTAATTCAAGCTTTGTAATGATTCAATTTCCTAAGAAAACAACTATTTGAAGATTTTTTTAAAAAAAAACCCTGCATTTTGTCTTTTCTTTTAAAAAGTGGATTTGGGGGAAATGAATGGTAATTTTAATTTGGCTAAACAATGTTATGACTGATTATGTAGATTGAATTTAAAACCCCCAAATATACTGCTAATTATATTTCAAAATGTAGTTTTATTGATTTTTTAAGTCTTCAAGTGATTTATTGTGTATCAATTATTTATTATGAAACTGAAATTGCTTTCTCAGACATGCAAAATTTAAATATGGCTACTGCACTCTTCAGTCATTTAAAATATTTTAGTGATGTTCTTTCACCATCTTGTGGCTATTTACAGTCATTTCAGATTTACTTATTTTCTTGAAAGCATTGTGGCACAACTATCATTATGTTAGGTAACTCGACACTTAAAAACTTAGCAAATTTCTCTGTATTTCAGAGTAGGTCAACTGCAATTATTAGCATAAAATTCTTGTTCAGATTCACAGTGGAATGGAAATGGACAAGACCAAATTGGAAACTGATCAAAGAGAGAAACAACTTGGAATTAAGGAGAAACTTCCTGACAGTGAGGACAATTAACCAGTGGAACAGCTTGCCTCCAGAAATCATGAGCACTCCATCACTGGAGATTTTAAAGAAGAGGCTAGACAGTCACTTGTCTAAGATAGTATAGTTCTCCTGCTTGAGCAGGGGGCTGGACTAGAAGACCTCCAAGGTCCCTTCCAGCTCTATTCTATTTTAATGTTATTTTACATATTGCTGAAATCACTAATATTAGTATTTTCCTAAGCATTTTTTAAAAATATAATTCTTCCATTTCTAATAAATGTAGGTGCTGTTTATTTTTTTTTGCAATTGTTTGATCCATTGTCTTTCTTGGTTATTTCTGGGTTACTTTTATGCTTTTGTTCCAGTTATCTTATTTTAGCATCTAATTGTTCTTTGTTTGTGGCATTTTTGTTTTTTCACTTATTTAGTTCATATGCTTTATTTGTTTCCCAAATAGTAGAACAAGAAATTCCTGGTGTACTATATACATTTTAAAGAAGTTTGATTCCTCTTTTTGCAGGTTAGTATCATTCATCTTCTACCTGAAAAGTATTTTTTCTTCACCACCCCATGTTATTAAAACTGGATTATGATCTGTATAAAGTCATTGAAATAATATGTACTTCTTTAATGGATGGTATTAAGGTCTTAGAAAACAAATATGTGTCTATTTTTGAATATAATGGAATTATTGCTGAGAAAAAGATGTAATCTCTCTTTGCTGGATTTTGTAATTTCCATATATGTGTCCATGCCAGTTCATCCATATATTGAAATATCTTTTGTGGAAGCTTCTCACCTTTTCTCCTCTTGTATCAATTTGTCTAAGCTCAAATCTAAAACTCCATTCATATCTCCCAAGACAAATATTTTGCCTTCTTCCATTCCTTACAGGGCTTCTCCAGGGTTTTGTTTCAAATTCATGACCCATAATTTCCACAAGATGGCTGGGCAGTTACTTTAACTCTGTGCAGTTCTAGGTGTAATGTACAGATATAGATAGTCCTTGTTTAACAATCGTCTTATACAGTGACCACTCAAAATTAGAATTAACTTTGCAACCAACCCTTAAGACCTTTACATGTCTGGAAAGGAATGAAAATCTAAAATAAGATCATAAGCACACTCATAGTCACTTAGTGAGCCCTTTACTTAACAACCAAATTGCTGGTCTCAATTGTGATCATTAAACAAGGACTACCTGTAATTTTAACTTCCTGTGAATAAGCTGACTGCATCAATTAACCCTTTTTCTTAGAGTTCTTGTGATGCATTTAACTCCCTAATTGATCTGGTTAATCTGGTTAATCTTGGCACTGGATACAGTGCCAAGATCTTAAACAGCCTTCCACAGTCTGGTGCCTTTTAATGTATTGGATCTCCTGTATCTCAAAATTTCTGGCTACACTGGGAAATCATATGACCTAAAATATGAGAAATTGTATGATAATTCCATTGTCAAGGTTCCAACTGAAGATCCCAACGAAGTAAGCACAGCGGAGACATTCCAATCTCTAATGCAAAACTTTATTGAGCACACCATATCAGCACAGATGAATAGAAAACCAACTCTGGTTAAATTGGCACCACAACAGTAAATTAAAAGTATAGAAACTCCCCTTCCCCTGACAATGCAAATCACATTCCCCAATTAAGCTTCAGACAATTGTTATGAGAGAAATCCTTTGTTACTTTGTAAATAATCTGAATCACCTTGATTCCCAGACTTTAGAATAGAATAGAGCTGGAAGGGACATTCGAAGCACCATGAGGTTTCTGGAAGGTTGACATCCATTGCAGTTTAAGAAGGAGGAGAAACACCAACACTCAGTATATAGGAATAGCTCATAAGTGTGTGCCTTCTTCTTAAAATGCAAAGTCCATTTTGAAGAGGACAGAATATTTAGGTCAGATTGGGGTTAACTGTAGGGATGACAATTTACTATGAACATGTCCTATTGTTTTCTTTGTATGTACTTATATATTTGTATTGGTTTTATATATTTAATATGGTCAAATGATTAATCAATGAAGATTTTATTCTGTCCTGTCCTGTCCTATCCTATCCTATCCTAATTATTATTTTCTATTCCATCCCATCCCATCCCATTCCAATGCCCACCTCTAAGCCTCAAAAGCAGGTAGACAGTCTCATTGCTTCTAATATCGTAATAGGCAAGTGTCTTTCCATCTTCCAACTCTTTATCATGGTAGGTCAGGCATTGCTGATTTACCGCTATATGTTTGCTGGCTTCAATCATCTTTTTCAGGCCCAGCACAGTTTCACTGGAGTTCACTGTGTAGTTTGTGGTTCTGTTATTGAAGTCTTTCACAAAAATGTTCATCTTCTGAGATGTAATACGAAGTAGTCGGAAGGTAGTATTGTAGAATATGCCATAATCTGCCAATCTTTTATCATTTTGCAAGGCTGTTTCCTCCAAATATAGCTCACAGATACACCCTTCTTTCCCAATCTGCTTCTTGATCCACTTGATAGGTACAAAAGGGTTGCATGATATAACTTTAGGTGCTCCTGTCTGTTGTTTCACCGTCACCTCAATATCTCGGGCCGGCTAAAAGAAAAAGGTGAAACAATTGACCAAAACCTTAAACGTTATTTATGAACATAACTGTTCCACCAGTAACATATAATAAATCAGTAATGTATAATATCAGTGTTTTTCTGTTTGTAACCTTCAATTAGCAAAAACAGTTCATCACAGCACAATGATTTTTGAATCAAAGTACCTAAAATCCACAGAATGCGTATGAAATCTAGGAGCCATCACTCCCATGGAATTAAAAGTGTTTCAGTCTTCAGAGCAGTTGTACTGGCAAAGCTCTGCCACAATCAGCCATGGTCACAAATTCATGATTTCCAACACTCCTTCCAGTTTCCCAATGGGGAATCCGGCAGGAGGTTGGAAATTTCTCCCCCTGCCACTTCTGCTTTGGCTACTTGTGGTCATTCTGTTTCTCTCTCCTGGTAAGTAAATTTTGACTTATTATTATTCTTACATCACACTGCACTACCTTTCTCTCAAAGGATGACCTAACAGGCCGTAGGTTGTCTAGTACTAGGTACATCTGTGAATTCTGAGCCTCCCTTAGGCATGAAAGCTGGCTGGATGACTTTGGGCCAGTCCCTTTCTCAGCACAACCCACTTCGCAGGGTGGCAGGAGTATTAGGTATGTTTGCCTCCTTCCTTGAGTTATATATTATTGAAAAGGTGGAATAAAATAATAATCATATATTATTATATAAAATAATAATAATTCCTACATGCAAGCAGGAGCTGATGGTCATAAAATAGACAAAGTAGTAGAAAATAAAGAAGCTAAAGTGTTCTGGGACTTTAGATTTCAAACAGATAGGCACCTGCCACATAACAACCCAGACTTAACAATTGTTGATAAGACAAAAAAAAGTCTAGATAGGGTGCATTGCAGTAAGAAGAGCAGCAGAAGAGAAGAGAAAGAACTGGAGAAAATCACAAAAATGACCTGCAGATAGAAGTAAAACAATTGTGGCGAAAGAAAGCAAAAATAATACTAATCGTGGGTGCAATCCCAAAACATATGTAGCATCACTTAAACACGATTGTCATTGACAAAATCACCATCAGTCAATTGCAAAATGCGATTTGATTTGGTACAGCTTACATCCTGCGATGATAACTTTAACACTATCAAACAACAACATCTGCTGATCCCAGGTCCCTGCGAAAGACTCAACAGGTGGATTAAAGTACCATATTCAGTCTACATCTCTGGCTGATTGTGCAACCAACCATAATCATAATGTGTATTATTGATATATAGTAAAGAAATATTCTACAAGTTTATCCTAGACTAATGATATGCAAATCACAAGATTGTCCTAATATTTTGCTACCTGAAATATATATATATATTCAGTTTCATGCTAGGTAGCAACAACTTCACTGTGATGCATTTTTATGTAGTGCAGGGCTGGCTCTATTTAATGAGATATTCATATCAGTGGTCCAAGTTGACTGACATGGGGTGGGGATTTACTTTTTTACAATGACATGCTGCAAGTTGGATGACTTTATAAAATAAACAAATCCTGATCTGAACATGAAATGGAAATGGAAGCGAATCTCCCATGGGAAGATTCCGCGAATGACTTTGCCCCTGTGACTCCCACACCATGGAGGATGTTCAGTATGTCCTGTTGTATTGCAATTTCTATTTAAACCTGTATGATGTTTTAATTTGGCCCCTCATAAAGGAATTCCCAGGGAGAGACAACCAATATGACATTTCATATCTTTTAAGAGTTCTACTATCAATAATGTAGCCAAATTCTGCCTCACTGCTTCAAAAGCGAGGCAACAAATATTGTCCAATAAAACTGCACTGCTTAGATACCTTTAAAATCTTCTTTCTTCTGCTCTCCCCTTCCTTTCCTCCCTCTAATTCTTTTAACTTCTTTAAATTGCCATATGTAATGCATGTTTAATGTATATGTATACACCAGTGTTTCTCAGCCTTGGCAACTTTAAGAAGTCTGGACTTCAATTCCCAGAATCCCCAGGGAGTTGAAGTCCAGACACCTTAAAGGTGCTAAGATTGAGAAACACTGGTATGTACATATACATTAAGTTAGTGACTTTATCTAAAAGCAGAGCCCATCTTGCCAAGGTACAAGCAAAACCTAATGTGATAAATAAGTAGTTATCTATGCTGCTGTCAGTGAAGTCTGACAATAAATTGTCAGCAGCCTGTTCTGTGACATTCTGCATTTTGTTTCTTTTCTTACACAAGGAAAAGTAACTCCGGAATGGATTATTTTCCTGATTTTTCTATGATCATTTGCCCCTTCACCCTCAAAGACTGAACAGAACACTAGTTAAACTTTGGTTGAGAAGTTGCAGATGCTTCTCAAATCCATAGGTTTGCTTCACACCTCATTCCACACCTGGAAGCAAGCAAGAATAACCCTGAAGAGCTTCTCTTGGACCTGACTGATAGAACGCTGCTTAAGGAAATTACTGTTTAGGCTGGATTCGTCCAAGGCTCTCAGCCATTATGGCTTAGCATAGGGTCTCCAAACTTGGCAACTTTAAGACTTGTGGACTTCAACTCCCAGAATTCAACAAACCACAGAACTCTAATATGATGTAGTTATCCAATTTAAAACTATATTCAATTAGGGAAAGCCAAGATGAAACCCATTTCATTTTAAGATACTGAATCCTGTAAAATTTCAGAATCTTTGCATAATCCACCTGTAAACATTATACAGACCTGAAATATCCCATGACTTAGAAGTTATTATTTTTCTGAATCTCCTGTTAGGAAGAAAATGGTCTATGCACACTACCTGTACATTCCAGGGTTTGATAGGCTCCTCATTCTTCATGCAACAAGACTGGGTCAGGCAATCAGAAGCTTTCTGGGCCAATAGATCCCAAGCTTCCACGTTGGCTTTGGCAACATTTGCTGTTGGATCTCCTGGATCGATAATCACAGGACTGCAATATGCACACAAACATATATATTGAAAAAAAAAATTACAAAGTGAAGCATACACTCCCAGGAGAAATGCACAATTATAACAAGAACTTAAAAAAATATGTTACTCCAGTGCAGTGTGTGCCAGGTACATTCCACTTTTCAATATGTTGTTTGAATGTGTTTTCCTTCCCTAATTTATACCACTCAGATACATAATAACTACAGGGTAACCTAAATGTGGCATTGAGAATATGAGTGATTTTTATGTTTGCCTTTTGTTTACTGAATATCAGCTATAGAGTCCTAAGTCAAAATCTCTATCGTCTCTAGAAGTAGGAAGAAGGAAGATTTCACTCTTTGGTTTCTTTCATTCACTCCTACTTCTAGCTAGTGGCAAAGAGTAATAAGTGTATTTTTCTTGCCTGAAAATATTCAGATGCAATGGAAGAATGCCAAAACATATAAAGTAAATGTGAGCATTTACGATTTAACAGGCAAGTAATAATAATAATAATAATAATAATAATAATAATAATAATAATAATAATAATAATAATAATAATAATAATAATGACATACAGCCTGATTGTCACTTTACTCAACTGAATGAAAGCATATGTATAACAAGAGAAAAGCATCCTTACCGTGACTCCTTCAGTTTTCCTTTCACATGTACCCCTATTTTGGAATCCTCCAGGGTGTAGTATTTAGTCCAATAGAAGCAGAGGTCTTGGTACTGAGTGATCAGTTTCATCACTGTGCAAAATCCTTCTGCTGTGTTGAATTGCTCTGCTCCTTTTTTTTCTTCTTCCCAAGCATAAATAGTAAGCAATTCCAGGGCAAATTTGGGGGGCAATTTGGGAGGCAATTTGGGGGACATGCTGCTGGATTGCTGAAAAAAAAATACTATCATGAGACTGTTTTGTTTCTGAATGGGCAGGGTTTTATAAAAAATATATCATTTCATTAAGCCCATTGGAGACTTAATACATTCCGTTATTTTGTCCTGAGCTTTGGCGTATAACAGCATTGCTGCTGGTTGTTTGCACTAAATTTCAATAAACGTGGAGAACTCTGTTCCCTGCACAAAGGTTTAGGACATAACACACTCCACAAATTGCCCATCCTTGTTGTAGCTGCTGCTTTTCCATCAGGCAATTTCAGTAGATAGATTATTTCTTTCTGCACCAGCTTTTCCCCCTGCGTGCTTTTCAAGGTCTCTTCCTAAAAAAAGAATCTGAATCTATCTGGTCCTATCCCCTATTTTGAATACTATAGCAAGCTGCCCCATACTGGCTCTAGCAAATAATCTAAAAAGTCAGATGTAATGTTGGCTTTACATCAATCTTTATAGATATTTTCCAAGGATATCCAGGCCCAGGGTGAGGTGGGGTAGAAAAAAAAAACTAGTATTGATTCTTGACTTCCCTTTTGAGGAAGAAAAACTGAGGGCCACAATAAGACCTGATCCTTACCATTATTGTGGGATTAAAGCTTAATTAGTGGCAAGCCAGAAAAGTGGGCAAAGGAAATGACTGGACAATCACATCACACTCCTGTTTGTACAGAGGTTGGACAATGTCAAGGCCAGTTTAGCAGGACATGACCTAGGAAGCAAAGGTCACGGGGACTTCTGTATAGAAGAGGGAATTTCAGTGCAAACACTAGAAGTACAGAATCTTGGAAATTGCCATAGGAGCCCCCAACCTTCATTTGTTGATGAGTTTATTAAGTTAAAGCCTCTTTGAATGTTAAATTGTAACAGTAACTGCCTCTAATGTTAAATTGTATAAAAATAATTATGATAAGTTATGGATAAAAGTTCAAAAGGATTTAAATGAGTGGAAAAAGTTACAGTTATCATTATTGGGGAGAATTTCAGTGGTTAAAATGAATGTTCTTCCTAAGTTTCTTTTTTTGTTTCAGATGATACCTATTTTAAAAAAGGATTTAAATTTGGAAGAGTGGCAAAGAGGTGTCAATAGGTTTATTTGGCAGGGAAAAAAACCGAGGGTTAAATTTAAAATTTTGCAAGATGCACGGGAAAGAGGGGGACTTAAAGCCCCAAATTTAAAATTATATTATGATGCGGTGGTTTTAACTTGGATTAGTGATTGGATTAACTTAACTAATAGAGATATATTGATTCCTGAAGGTTGGGATTTATTTTATGGATGGCATGCTTATTTATTTTTTTATAAGAAAGTTGATCATGTTTTTAGGTCTCATATTTTAAGAATTGCACTCTTGAGAGTTTGGAAAAAGTATTATTATAAGTAAATTTCAAAATCCCAATGTGGGCTATTCCGGAACATGCAATACAAGGAATTACAAGGGGAGTTAAACTAGAGGGAATTGTTTATAAGGACTTATCTTAAGGGGACAGGACTGGCAAATTAAATTATTGGATGAATTGAGACAAGATAATGTTCTCCAGTCCTGGTTCTTATATGGCCAGTTGGTTGAGAGATGGCATATAGATCAAAAGTTAGGTTTAACATTGGAAGATGTGAACTTGATAAGACAGATTAAAGATCAAAGTAGAGCTCATATTAGGAGAATATATAGTGTTTTGATAGAGTTTGATTCGGAAACAGAACTAGTTAAAGATTGTATGATTAAATGGGCTCAAAATATTCAAGAACCAATTATGTTAGAAACATGGGAAACAATTTGGGTAAGAAATGTCAAGTTCACTCAAGCACAGAATTTAAGGGAAAATTTTTATAAAATGTTTTATAGATGGCATTTGGATCCCCAAAAATTGTCTTGCATGTATCCGAACTTGCAGCCAAAATGTTGGAGATGTGGTGATTTGGATGCAACTTATTATCATATCTGGTGGACATGTAGGGATGTTAAAGCCTTTTGGATTAAGATTTGGTGGAACCTTCAACAGATTTTTAAGAAAAAGATAAAATTTACACCGCAATTATTTTTATTGGGTATCATGGATAATTTGGATTCAAAAGAAATGAACTTGATGCTGTATTGTATAACAGCAGCAAGGACATTGATTGCTCAAAATTGGAAAAAGGAGATATTACCGACCATGGATGATTGGAGACAGAAAGTTTCATACTTTGCAGAAATGGCAAAAATATCCGCATACCTGAAGGATCAGTTTCAAGAGAAATTTATTTTGGTATGGAGAAGATGGATAGATTATATTCAGAGAAAATATGAAACGAATAATTATCATATAGCTTTTGGTTAATTATTGTTATTTATAAATATTTTTATATATAATTTATATATATAGTTTATAGTTAAGTTGATTATTGTATATTAGAGTTACAGTAAGTTTATACTTGTTTATATTATGAATGAGTAGTTTTGGTTAGACTTGGATTATTATGTGATTATTCCTGTACTCAGTTCTGGGAAGTCCGGGGGGGAGGGGAGAAGGGGATAGAAATTATAAAAATTGATGTATTTATATATTATAGGTAAATAATGGAATTGTATTAAAAAGAGGAGATGCTCGGCTGGTACCCCAAACTGCATTTGATGAGGTGGTTAAGAAGGGAGATGGGATGTAGGGAGGTGGGAAGGAGGAAAGAGGAGAGGCTGTGGGCTTAGGGGGAGGAAGGAAGAGGAAAGTGAATGAGGGTGGATGCAGGGCGGGGACTGCCGAGCGTCTCCGAAAACGTATTGAGCAGGATTATCTTTTTTTTTTGTTTTAAGTAAATGCATCATATTTGTTTTATGTGTTGTAATTTGAAAAATTAATAAAAAATTTTATAAAAAAAAAAGAGAGAGTTTCAGTGCAAACACTAGAAGTACAGAATCTTGGAAACTGCCATAGGAGCCCCCAACCCTCATTTGTTGGTGAGTTCATTAAGGTGAAGCCTCTTTGAATGTTTTAGTCTCTTCTTCCCAGACTTTTTGCAGCTTGGACTGAGCTGTTGTTTATGAAATATGTAACAAATATATTGAATTTATCTATCAAATTTATATGGCCACCCACTTCATGCAAAGTGACTCTGGGGATAAAAAATAAAACCTACAATCAAAGCATATTATAAAAATCAGTTAAAACTATTAAGTAATTTAACATGCAAAAGAACATTGGTTGGTTGTTTCCTCCTGTTACTATTCCAGCCTCTCCCCCTCTCTCTCATAACAGCTCACCTTCTTGATTTCTTTGTACCAGTGCTTGACCAGCCGTAGCAGATCCTTCAGCTTTGCTGGACAACGTTTCACAAAATTCCTCTGCAGCTCTGTGAAGGAAGTATTGAACTCTCCTGGGTCTCCATTGGCTTCAATCAGGTCGATATAGACCTCCTTAGGTGGCACATACGTAAAAGATATCGGACCTAGGATGGGAGAGGAACCAAAGGAAACCATCACAAGATTTTTGTGTGATATCATATTTTATTATCCTATTGTGCATTTTAAGGCCATCAACAACTGACATGTCCATTCCCATCTCTTCACTCTGATGATTCCTCCCTGAAGCACAATGAGATGTGCAAGGCTGATGTCAACCCTTCAAAAAAGACAAGTTCACAGAACAGATTCCACATGGAAACCAACATTACACTTAATTGAGATAGGCTATCATAACAGATGTCAACACTGCTAATATTGAATATTCTTGCTTTGACAAAATATACAGAACTGTCTGGTATTTTTAGAGTTAATTCAAATGATGGTGGTGGTGGGGGGGAGAAAGATAGGACTGCACCTGGGAAGAGAACGGAAGAGAACCTTTGCCCTTCCACCTGATAGGAGAATGTGATATATGACAGCAAATTTAGGGAGGGAACATGCTGGTAAATTAATTGCTCAGGGGAAGAGAATTTAGATCTTAGCATCCCTGGTCATGCCGTCCGACATTTTGTAATATAAATAAAAGACTTAGGAAAATCAATGCCTGGAAGTTCTTTGAAGTGTTTCATTAGCCGGAATCCTGACAACAGAATCTTGCAAGCCTGAAGCTTCTTATCCCTCTGTGTTATACCCTAGAGATTCAGGAGAAACTATCCAGAGCCTCTTCTTAATATTGTCTCTCTTTTCGGAACTTAAGGAATCCTTCTGTTATCTTTGTTTACATAATATTTTCTGAATATTCAAGCTTGTCTCCTTGCTTTCTACACTATTAGAATAAGATGTCCTATTAGAACTGCTCTGTGAAATGCCAGCAAAATGGCGACTCCTCTTTCTTTGGGAGGGGGGCAAGGTGTGGACTGCTACCAAGAAGGCATGAAGGCACCAAGAAGCATCCAAGAAGTACCCTATATACTTCACATAATTAGGGCAGGTTGATTCTACCTGGGACAGATGCTCCAGCAGGAACATAAGGGCAAAATCATGTACAGTTTTAAACACAGGATCTTGGATTAGGCTTGGAAGCATATTGGTAACCAAAGGAGTCAACTCAGAATATCTCAGACACTACAAACCCTACTTCCCACTCTTGGTAGTCAATTCACTACATTTTGGACCAGTTGAAATTCTGAGTTTCCTAGGAAAGTCCCATGTAAACCTTATTGTTGTTGTTTGACTGTGAGGTGATAAGCACAAATTTCCATTTCAAGGGTCTCCTGATGCATGTGAAATATGAGGACCCATGATGGTTTTCTGTAGTCAGGATGATGGTTCCTATGTTCAGCTAATAGCAGAATTAATAAGAAAGCTTGTGACTAGATTCCTCACCTAAAGCATCATATGCTGGGAGGATGTCCACCTCTACCGACTCTCTCTTCTTTTTTGCCTGGATGAGGAGTGAAAGTGAACGTGGAGGAGTTCCCTTCCGCCTCGGTGGGAAGATTTCAACTTTGAAAGCAATCGTCTGGATACACCTCTTCAAATTCTTTTCAATGTCATTGATCACACGTTCACGCTGCTTTGCTTGATCCTTGAAGCTGGAGAAGCAGCTGAGGAAGATAACCAGATCAACATCTGAACTCATATCCATAGCTGTTCCTTTTCCTGCAGAGCCAGCCTATTAAAAAAAAAGAAGCAAATGTTCACTCATCTTCCGTCTCAACATTAATTCATTTAAAACAGCAAATATCTTACCAACTCTAAGACAAAGGAGAAACACTTGTAGCCTAAATGTTGAATTATGCTATATGTCTCATTGGTAGACCTGGTTTTCTCACTTGTAGGCAGAAAAACAAGTGTATTTTGTTCATTTTTGCCCCATGTGAAAAAAAACCCCTCAAATCTAATCCCCTGCTCTTCAATAGGCATTTTGCCATACTATATAGAAATAATAATAATAATAATAATAATAATAATAATAATAATAATAATAATAATAATAATAATAATAATAATAATAATAATAATAATAAAGTTGGAAGGGTTTCCTGCTCAAATGGCTGTCCAGTCTCTTAAAAACTTCCAGTGTTGGCTTCTGGAGGCAGGTTGTTCCATTGGTTAATTGTTCTAACTGTCAGGAAGTTTCTCCTTAGTTCTAGGTTGCTTCTCTCCTTGATTAGTTTCCACCCGTTGCTTCTTGTCCTGCCTCCAGGCACTTTGGAGAATAGCTTGACTTCCTCTTCTTTGTGGCAGCCCCTGAGATATTGGAACACTGCTATCATGTCCCCCATCGTCCTTCTCTTCATTAAACTAGACATACCCAATTCCAGCAACCGTTCCTCATATGTTTTAGCCTCCAGTCCCATAATCATCTTTGTTGCTCTTCTCTGTACTCTTTCTAGAGTCTCAGCATCTTTTTTACATCGTGGTGACCAAAACTGGATGTAGTATTCCAAGTGTGGCCTTACTAAGGCATTGTAAAGTAGTATTAATACTTCACGTGATCTTGATTCTATCCCTCTGTTAATGCAGCCAGCACTGTGTTGGCCTTTTTGGCAGCTGCAGCACACTGCTGGCTCATATTTAAATGATTGTCCACTAGGACTCCGAGGTCCCTCTCACAGTTACTACTATTGAGCAAGGTACCACCTATATTATACCTGTACATTTGGTTTTAAATATCCATAGACAAGGCAACAAAACAAAATGTGGCAAAATTACGTAGAGGATAAGTATAGAAAAAAAACCCTCAGACTCCTTTGGTAGCTGGAAGCCCTTTGTCCTCATCAAAGGCAGCCGCAGATGTTCCCCTGATTCTTCTGGCTAGTTTATGGAGCAATTAAAAATACATCCCTTTTCCCCTTAACAGGTCAATTTTGCTTTTTTGAGGAAATGTCTTCTCAGATTCTATTATACACTAGTTGTACCCGGCCACGCATTGCTGTGGCTCAGTCTGGTAAAAGCGTGTGTTGCTTTTACATCCAACAGATGGCGCTGTTTTTCAAAAAAAGCATGTTTTTACCTATCACAGGTGTGACATCTATATAATAGTAGGTATATAAAAACACGTGCGTATTCGAATGCAATGTTGTGTCAAAATTTCAAAGCAATCGGTGAAGAACTTTCGGAGATTTAAGATTTTGAACAAACGAACATTTACATTTTTATTTATATAGATGTCTGAGAGCTTCCATTGTAGATGCATGACCATAGCAATAGCATTTAGACTTATATACCACTTCATAGTGCTTTACAGCCCTCTCTAAGTGGTTTACAATGTCAGCATATTGCCCCCAACAATCTGCATCCTCATTTTACCGACCTCCGAAGGATGGAAGGCTGAGTCAACCTTGAGCTCCCTCAGGATCAAACTCCGTGCTGTGGGTAGAGTTTGCCTTTATTATTTCATCCTAATCCCTGCACTACTATGGTAGTCTAACTTCTTATACCAAGTGACTACCCTTGTGATGAAGGGTCTTAGCTCAAGCTATGATATTACTGATTAAATGTCTTGATAAACCTTACTTCATGCTATGCTACAACCAGAAGTATAACAAATAAGAAGAATACTTTTAAGAGTGCTTTACAACCTACAGTATATGGACTTATCACCTGAAAAAATGGCTGTAGGAGTGAAGTACCCTTCACTAGTTCCTAGAACTTGTTCTGCAATTCCACTACAACAGGCAAAAGCATTGCTTCACATGATGGCTAAAGCCAATAAAAGACATGTATCTTTGTGCATATTTTTAATCTATAAAGATTAAAAAGGGGCCGGTGGTGCAGTGATTAGAATGCAGTACTGCAGGCTAACTCTGTCCACAGTCTGGTGTTTGATCCTGAGGGAGCTCAAGGTTGACTCAGCCTTCCATCCTTCTAAGGTTGGTAAAATGAGGACCCAGATTGTTGGGGGCAATATGCTGACATTGTAAATTGCCCAGAGAGTGCTGTAAAGCACTGTGGGCTGATATATAAGTCTAAGAGCTATTGCTATTGCTATAAAAGCAATAGCAAAATACTTATCAATTCTGTGAGATGGTAAAAAAAGATCAAGAGAAACATAAACAATTGAAAAAACTGGCTTTGTGTTTTAATCCGAGAGTGCATCTTTGTTTATTATATAAAATAAACAAGTTGTGCAGTTTCCCTTCCTTATGTGATAATTGGATCCTTCACACCAGATAAAAAAAATGACTTAGCATTTGACTGGGTCAATCCATAGTTTGGCCAACACCTTTCATTAGAATATGGTTAATGTCCAGTTTCTGGGTCACTGCATATAATGTAACACCACGAGGAGGCCTCTTTCACATTCTTTACAGTAAGGATCCCCAACCCTCGGTCCGTGGGCCAGCACTGGGCCATGGCATGCCAGAAACCAGGCCACACAAACAAGTGAAGCCCATCTGTGGAATGCAGGCAGCACACAAAACCACAGTCATTCCAGTCCACGGAAAAACCTCTCTCCATGGAACCAGTCCCTGGTGCCCAAAAGGTCGGGGGCCGCTGCTTTACAGCAAGTAGTGTTCTTGCTCCCATCCCAAAGATCTCCCCTCTGAACCAGCATTCATGTCAATTCCTGAGAGTCTATCATGGACATGGCCTCACTGCCATGAAGTCTGGCATTTATTTCCTAACTTCAGCACCCACATTTATTAAGGCAGGCAATAGATATTTGAAGTCACAGTCTGGAAAGAGAGCCGGGAGCTTGATACCCTGTAACTAAGCTGGGACAAAGAGCCAGTGGCACTCAATCTGAGAAGCCATCTTACTAGAGTTGAGTTAGTTAGACCAAGCAAGGCTCACCTTTACTGTCTTGATCACGTTGGCATCCTGGTCCAGATCACAGTCTTCTTTCAGGAAAGAACAAATTCTGTCCACAGCATCACTGACATTCTCTTGAAACTCCTCGCTGGGGTGGAGGGTCATACCAATATATCCATCAAGTTTTTTAGAGGGGATGGAATACAGCTCCATTTTCTCCTTCAGGCAGTCCACTTGTGCTACACTGGGATGAGCCACCCAGCTCTATTTATCTTACTGCCTCTCTCTCTCTCTCTCTCACACACACACACACACACTCTGATGTCACCACACAAGCTCTTAAGGTGGACTAGACGGTGTACCGTCAGATTTCTCAGACATGTACTTTCAAATAACGTATATAAAAGTTGAATTGAAATAAAAACAATTAAAATGAAATCATATTCAATATTGTGAAATTATTGTATGGAAAACAGTAACCGAGTATTTTGTATCTGAGTAAAACAAAATAGATGTTTATGTTGTAAAAACTTCCACCTTTCATGGAAACTATTGTAAAAGTACTAGAATACATTTAACATAATAAAATGTGCAGAATAACGTTTTACTTACTATTCTTACTAATCGAAGTTCTCTAACTCTAAATATATACTTTTGGGGGGGGTCCTAAAAGTATTTTCATAGACTACCTTAAAAGTTAGAGGGTGGAGACAATTTCGGGGCGTAGATGTTTCCTTTTTTTCGTGAACGAAACTTAAATGTAGGAAACGAAAGTGATGAGCGAAGGGGTGAATGACGGGGAATACTGCAAACGAGGGTTGGCGTAACACTCAAAATAACTTAGGCATAACATCTTTGGAGACGCAACCTCTCGCTTTAGATCCCAGGATATCCAGTTCAAAGAGCGGCTGTCAGATTTCCCACATGTACCCCGCATTCAGGTACTAGGACTACCATCCTCCCCCCCAAAACAGTCAGAGAGGGAAATGCTGAAGGACCAGGGATCTCAAAAGAAAAATATCTTGATAAGGGAGTGCCAGCATTCTCGGGGCCGCGATTAGGGACGCTTCCTGTGCCTGAAACCAAGTCAGGATCCGCAGAAGAAGCGGGACAACTCCGAGAGGATCGCAGCGCCCCGCCCGATTCAAGGAAAGGAACTTGCTCAGCCTCGCCTCTGCAGTCGGATCGTCGCCAGGGGAACTTTTAGCAGCTGAGAATCTGTTGGATCCGCCGGTTCCCATTTGCGCCATTTTGTGCGGTAACAAGAGCGGCAGCCGTGCGCCCTTCCCTTCCCTTCCCATGGGTGTAGCTTTCATTTTAGAAATTAGATGCCCTCGGCTGTCTCTTGGATTGAAACAAAGCCTGAGATCGTTCCGCAGCAAAGGCGTGGAGAAGAAAGGCTTCGAGGGCTGGAATGAGGAAAGCCGCGAAGCCAAAGGGTTGGGGCGATTTTCAGTGCGCTGGAAACGCTCCTCAGCAAGACCTAACAGAACAGAGCGGAAGAAGCTTCTTGCATGAGAAACGAAACGTCTTCAAAGAAAAACCCCCCAGAAAATCCAGTTGCCTCTTGAAAAAGCACCTTTGGGACACCTAACAGAACAGAGAACTGGGCGGGCAGGTGGGACGGCTCCCTGCCTCATACAATTCTTGGGATCTTCTGGAGACTGCACTATATCCAGCCAATATTCTGTAAATACACGCATGAGAATAAGCCCTGAGGTCTCTAGTAACCCCCATGTAAGGCCCCAATTGGCCTGGTGTGTGTAGATATGATA